AACCCCGCCGCCCCCCCTTCCCCTCCAAGCAGACCACCCCCGGATCCACCTACGGACAACACAATGTTGTTCCTAACTGAATCTTTTATCCAGGTTTATCCGTTTCAAAATATCCCTTGGGTACCGCTACCCTATCCTCAATATTGGCATTCCTGGTTCAAAAAGAGGTATTGTAGAAATTTTAGAGATATAAACAATGAGAATATCCCTGGCTAGGAGACTGGAAGAGGACGGGGAGCCTTAAATCAACTTCTGAATAATCATGATATGCTATACAAGAGAAAATGGAAAGAAAATAATCAAAACTAATTAAAATACGAAGAAAAAAAAAAGAATAAGCTTACATATGTTTGGCACCAGCATTCACTCGTAGATCTTTCATTATCAGCCGAATGATATACTTCAGTTCCAAGCATGTTGCTCTGCAATCAATGCGAAATAACAGTGATTTCTATTTTATAAGCTTGGTTTTTATACACCAGTTATTTTTTATAACTAAAATTTTGTTTAAAACAAATCACAAGTTAAGGGAAATTTTTTAATAGAATGATGATCAAACGCAATATGTTTTTGAAAAAAAAAAAAACTTACAGTTTACAAATTTCCGAAAAATGCATTTCCTGCTCCTCTTCCCGAGTCAATTCAGATAATTTTTCAAGCCATTCATCCACCTTAAAGGTGTGTAAAATGAATGTTGAGGTTTGCGAGGTGAAATTTTACTAATTAAAGAACTATAAAAGTATTTTTTTGCTCAAAAAAAATTTTATGTAAAAATTCGTTCAACTTACCATCTGATTAGTGAGTTGAGATTTTTTCGCCTTTTCATCCGTTTTCGCGAAGAAATCACACAGTGTTTGTGAAACATCACCTGTTTGATTGTATGATTCAGTGAGCTCGTCATGAGACCAATCGAATAGCTGTGAAAAAATTTTAACTCATTAAACAAAAATTCAATGATTTTTTTTGGAAATCAAACTTTTCGTCTCAAAAAAATACTTACATTTGAGAAAATTTTCATCAGCTGCTTTGCTTTCAAGTTATAAACTCGCTCATCAGCAACCGGAATAAGAAATTTTAACAGCAAATACAGATTACCATCGTAGCCTTCTGTAAAATAGCGATCTTTGTCATTGAAAAATAACGTAACAATTTTGCACAGTCTCAACGATTTCGCTCTTTGGAGACCTACGGCTGTGAAGATCAATTTGCATAATCTGTCACCGATACCCGCGACCTGCCGGCAAAAATGGTAAAAATCGCTGGTTGTGGTAGTAGCTGAGTTCCAAACAATACATTTATGCGACTGAGTTATGGACGAGTACGGAAGCTCCGTTATTAAATGGGATGTCACGGAAGCCTCTCGAAAAGCCGGCAAAATTTGAAGAGTGTATATGTCATGAATGTTGTCATGAATGTAGCCCTTTCTCAAAAATTCCTCTGGTCCGGGAGGGAATCGAACCACTCCCTTTCACGTTCAGATGCAATGTGTTGCCACTGCACCACTGGTCCTTGTGCTTTAAGTTCAGCCTAGCAGCACACTTACTGTGTATCTGTCAAGATAAGACAGAGGCTTTTTCTTTCTTTTGTGGCGGCTTCTTGGCCAGCTTTTCACAGGTCTTTCGCAACAATATACGCTACTTGGAGGAACAGCATCAGGTGCTACAGAGATACTGGAGCGCCTATAATGCAAGTGGCGTGACAAGTGCTTCAGCAAGTATTTAGCGCACAAAAGCCGGTGGTGCAGTGGTTTAGTACGTTGCATTCGGATGTGAAGACGTGTGGTTCGATTCCTTTCCGGTCCATGCTTTTTTTTGGCAAAAAGAGGGTTCGCTCGCAAAATGTGGAACATAAGGTTTTTCGGTGTAACGGCAGGCACGTCACAAACCGAATGGTTCAAAGATGGTAAAGATGAGGAGTTAAATTCTCTTCCATACCACCCTATTTCTTGCAAAAGGGGCTTTGTTCCCAACAAGAATGCTGCACTAAGGCATCACCCCCAGTATTTCGGGATTCAAAAAAAAGTCAAGAAATTTAAGTTTAAAATTCTCAAATTCGACACAGTCTATGGTTTAGTTCTAAATCCAACGTATCGTTATTTTTACCTTA